CGCGGAGCTGCGCCAGCCGTGCATTATTGATGAAGGCGGCCGCCCTGCTCCTCGGAGCGCCGGCAGGAGGGAGATGTCATCTGCTCCTCGTTAGAGCCCTTGCATCTTTGATGAGGCGCCGTGTAAGCGGAGATGGCCCTGTAAGCGTGGCAGATGCCATCAATCTCGGGCCAGCTTTCCCTGGGGATGGATGGACTCGTGCCCAGGGCGGCTCGGAGATGTGCTGCAGTGCTCAGGGCACCGGGGGAGGGTGGCAGCACCCAGCCTGCTCCTCCTGCTCTCCCTCCCTGCCTGCAGCGGGGGCTGCAGGTGCTGCTGCTGCAGGGTGAGGGAATTTTCCAGCTGCAAGTGGAGCTCGTGGGCCTCCAGGAAACTCTGGGTGTCACAAGGGACCGTCGCAGCCTTGCAGCCCCAAATTCTCCGCTAAAGCCTGTGCACCACCCCCTGCAGGCTCGGATGAACGGCCCTGCCTGGCACAGCAGCTGGGATGGGCAAAGCACAGAGCCCAGACCCATCCACAGGGAATTCGGGTGGGAAAAATCCATAGCTGCAGCTGCTCAGGGAATCTGAGGTAATTAACTCTCTCGGTTAATGGACACACCGAGGCTCTCTTGATCCCAAGGGAGCTGTGCAGCTCAGGCTGCATCCCACGTTATGGGAAAGGGGCTCTGGGCAGTGCCAACCCCTGCACCGTGCCCAGGTCCTCTCCAGGGCAGGGAAACCCCCACGATTGCCCTGAACCAGGCTGGTGATGCTCCCCGACTGCCCCAGACCTACCTGTTCTGGGGTCCCATCCCTGTGGGCTCAGCGGTGGCAGGGGAGACAGAGCTGCAGCCCCTCTGCCTGTGGGGTCAGTGGTGGCAGGGGGGACAGAACTGCAGCCCCCATGCCAGGCTGGGCTCCAGGGGCTCCTGCCAGCCTGTCCTGGTCACTCTGAGCAGCATCCACCTCTCCAGTCCAGATCTCACCATGGGAAGCCCTGTCCAAGGCTGGATCTGCCCACAGACACAGAGCCAACCTCTCCCTGCAGAGGCTGCTCAGGCAGGATTTACCCTTGGCAGGTCCTTGCTGCTGTCACCGCTGCCCTCCTCCTTCAGGACACGGCTTCCAGAAGCACATTCTCCGTGTCCTTCCCAGGGATTGAGGTGACACAGCAGCCCACAGTGACACCCCGGAGCTTCCTTTTGGGACAGAAATGGGATTTTTGCCTCTTCCCAGGCCAGGGACCTGCTACAGTCACCAGGACTTTTCAGAGAGGTCCTGGCCTGGCCCCTCAGCACCCCTTAATCCTGTGCATGCCCAGCTGGTTTAAATGCTCCCTGACCCAGGTGCAGAAGCTCTTCCTGCTCACAGCAGCAGGGAAATGTGAATTGGAGCTGCAGCCCTGCTGAGACTGCTGCTCCAGACCCTGGCCCTGCAGGGTCTCTGTCCAGGGCAGTGGTGAGAGCCCACCTCCTCCTCATGTCCCAGCTGCAGGAGAGCTTCTGCAGGGGGAAGAGCCTCTTCCAGAGCCTTTCCCCCTCCTCATCACCTCCCCGGGGCTGTGGTGACACTGCTGGGTGAACTCTACCCTTAACCCTAATGCTCTCCAACAGCTGGGCTGCCCTGCAGCTCGGATATTCTGAACACTCTCCAGCAGCTGGGCTGCCCTGCAGCTCGGATGTTCTGCATGGAGAACAGAATGCTCTCTGCAGCTGCCCTGCAGGTCAGGTGTTCTGCCTCTCCTCACTCTGGCAGGTCCCATCCCTGCCCAGGGGTCGGGATTCTTGGTGCCAGAAAAGCCAAAGCCTGGGATGCCCACCCTGGGCTCACCCCGTGCCCCCTGCAGCCCCTCCTGGCGTGCCCAGGGTCACCTGGCAGTGCCTCTGGGGCTGTGCAGATCAACCAAAAGGTACCTGAGGGATGGCTGAACCTCCTGTCCCTCTGCAGCACCCCAGCTCCAGCCCCTGGCAGGTGACAAACCTCCCAGAACAGCACCTGGGACTGCCACAGGATCTCACCCGTGGGGATGGGAGGGGACTGCAGAGCCGGGGAAGGGACACTGGGGACACATCCCATGAGCCCGTCTGGGGCCTCCAGCAGGGCCATCTCTATAATGTGACTGATCCCAGCAGTTTGGAGAGCGGGATAGCCCCCAGTGAGCAGCAGGATGGGGGATCCCATCGGGTGCAGCCCCAAGGTGAGCACAGGATGCTGTGGGGATCTGGGACAGCCCCA